ATATATATATATATATATATATATTCTCTGTGTTATTTGGAATCTTGTCAATAAGATAGTGAAAATCCCATCCTTTAATTGCACCATAGCCAACACTGATTGTTCCAGGCACTTTTAGCTTATTTAAGCCTCACCTTTTCATTTAACCAACGATAATATGTTAAGCATGTACTGTATAACAAGTATACTACAAACATAAAGTGCTTTACTCTTTTTTCTCATCTTGATAATAGTCCTCCAAAAGAAGTGTTAATAATACTCATTTTACCAGTGAAACTTAGACAAATTGAGTCTGGAAAATGAGACTGTTCATGAAATGATGCCTTTTCATTAATTTTCTTTTCCTTTTCAGAGATGCATTTGCTTATGTGCAAGAAAGAAGATTTTGTATTAATCCTAATGCTGGATTTGTCCATCAACTTCAGGTAAGTACTCTCCTCTTTCTCCTTAAGGCATTCAGAATGTAAAATCTTTTGTCCATGTCACTTAGGTGTAGAATTTAGAATTTTCATAACCATGATTTGGTTATTCAGGTTTATAGTTATGGTTAATACCAGGTACAGTTGTACACACTTATAATTCCAGCTCCTAGGGAGGCTGAGGCAGAAGGGTCCAGAGTTCAAGGCCAGCTAGGTCAACTCAGTCAAATGCTTTCTTCAAATAAAATTTTTAGAATGGCTGGAGATGTTGCTCTGTGGTTGAGAGCTTGCCTCACCTGCAGTAGGCCCTGGTTCTAATACCTGTTAAAAAACAAAACACAAATTGTTAGGAAGAAAAAGGAGTTCAAGTCATATTGTTAGATCCAAGGTAAAATAAAGCATGAGAGTGTTTGAATTTTAAGTACAGACTGAACATGCCTAATTTGAAAATCTGAAGTCTGAAATGCTCCACTATCTAAAACTTTTTGAGTGCTGATATTTGAATTACGAATGATCAACCAGTAAAACCTATGCAGTTATTCTAAAATCCAAAAACTCCCAAGTCTGAAACATGGTTTTGGTTTACTTTATTTTATTTTGTTTTGCAACAGGGTCTTGCTGTTTTAACCAGATTGGTTCTAAGTTCCTTGGTTCAAGCAGTCCTGCCTGAACCTCCTAAGTAACGGGGATACTAGACATGTGCCACCACGCCCAGCCCATTTTCAAATACTGTGACTTTTTTTTTTTTTTTTTTTTTGGTCTGGTACCAGGGATTGCACTCAGGACCTTGTGCTTGTTGAGGCATGCACAGTGCCACTGAGCTACATCCCCGGCCCTCAACTACTGTGATTTTATATAAATAATTTATGGTATTTGCTCAAGATTTTTTCATTAATGTCCTTTTTGGAATTTTCCTAGTGAGTTCTTATTTGGTATCACCATTACTGGGAGGAATCAGGGTTTTGTGGGGTTAGTTTTGTTTTTTTGTCATGATATTTTCTACGTTGCCCAAGCTGGCCTTCCTGCGAAAGATGTTAGAGCAGACATAAATCATGAAGATACTTATGGGCAAGCATTCTTGGTGGATCCTTGAGGTTGACAGATGTATGGTGTTTTTCAAGGCACTGTGAGATCATTGTGGCTGGGACAGAGTAGACAAATGAGACAAGAAGGGATTAGAGAGCTGAGAGGATCCCTGTAAGTAAAGTCTTTCAGTTTCAGTGGCAGAATGAATCTTACAAGATCATTCTGGCTGCTCTCTTGAATGTAGGCTATAGAGGGGTTGAGAACAAGGACAGAAGCAAGTAGACCAGCTAGGCTATTGCCATAATACAAGGGCACAGTATTGGGTTGTAGCAAAGTGGTAGGGGAAGAGGTGAGAAAAGATCAGGTTTGAAGGTATAGAGGTTAGGATTTGCTGCTTGATTAGTTTCTAAAAGAAAAAGAGGAATCTAAGCTTAGTGTAGCAGTTCATGTTTGTGATCCCAATACTGTGGGAAGCTGAGACTGGAGGATCACCAGTTCAAGTCTAGCCTGGGCCACTTAGCAACTTAGCATCTCAAAATAAAAAATTTATAAAGGCTGAGGATGTTGCTCAGTGAGAAAGCCCTGGGTTCAGTCCCAAATACTAACAAGATAAGAAAGGAAAAAAAAAAAGTCTAGGCCTTTTACCTGAACAACTGTAAGATCAATCACTCTTTAATGTAGAAAACTACATTAGATTAGAGATGGTTTACATATAGAGAGCTTGAGAGGGCTGTCAGGAAGTAGGCAGGAATGTATAAGTGAAGTTCAAGAGAAAGAATACTGGTAGGGATTGCCAGTATACCAAAGTTAATGAAAGCACTGGAACCAGATGAAATCACTAGGTGTGAGTGTAGGTGAAGAATTCAAAGACAGAACCCTACACATTCAAACCGGTAGAGGTTGTGAGATGAATTAGCAGGAGCTTGATAAGGAAAGGGCAGTAAGGTAGGAAGAAAATCAAAACAGGCTGGTATCCAAGATGTCAGGTGAAGACAGTGTTTTTACAAAGGATGGAGCGATTCACTGTCAGAACATGAGGTCATTGATTTTGAGAAAGCTCTTGTGGAGTGGGGAGGATAAGCGTAGTTGCAATTGGTTCCAGAGAAAATGGGAGGAGAGAAATTTCAGCAAGAATAGTCAATACTAGGAACTTTACCTTGAAAGGGAAAACAAATGAAATAATGACTAAAAGAAGTAGAATTAAGAAGTTTTTACTCAGATAGGAGGAAGCACAGCATTTTCTGCATGCTGATTGGAACAACCCAGGAGAAAGGGAGAAACTTAATAGTTTGCCACAATTGTATGGTATGGTCTGTTCTTTGTTTATTCTATTATTCGTTGTTTCTATGTTTTTTCCTCTCCCATTTCTTTGTTGAGTTTGGATGATATGTTATGTCTGTTGTCATATGCCTTCCATGAGTCCTTTTATCTCTTCTTTGAATTAACTTCAGAATTTCCATTGATTTAGCTTGGGCTGCCATAACAAAATACCATAGACTTTGTGATTTAAAAACAAATTTATTTCTCACAGTTCCAGAGGGTGCAAAGTCCAAATCATTGTGCCCATCCAGGTGCCTTAGGTAATTGTCACATATAGTCAGGCTTTAGGTTTACCCCTTTACCCTTCACTTTTAGCTGAACAAGATCAGCTGGTGGCAGGCTACATGCAACCAAGATTCTCTTCCACCTTACTATACCTGATAGCCTGCTTCTTGCAAAAATGCAAGTATGGGTGCCCATTTTCATTAATAAGCCATCCTTCTTCCCAGAGCTCACTCATACTGAACTGTCTGTCATAGCATTCAAGGGCTTGTTGGATCTATCATAAGTCTGCTACCGTTTTTGGAAAGTATGATCTGTACCTACAGTGCCTATGAAAGTTGAGGAAACAAGCATCTTATGTGCCTAACTTGGTCGTTTCCATTTTTAAAAACTTTATTATAAAAGATAATATACATATAAAGAATGTGTAAACTATATATAAACATCTATGTAACCTGGTCCCCAAATTCCCTCTTGATGCCCCTTCCCCAGCACAACTCTTTCTTTCATGAATGGAACCACCAACCTGGCCTGTTTCCTAACCCTTTCCTTACTTTTCTCCTCATTCTTTTCCTAGTCAACTTATGGATATTTCTTAGTCTTATCAAATGTTTTCATTGTTTACAGCAAGGGGAGAGTGACAGAGATGCCTTTGTTCCATCTTCAATTGGAGGCAGATTGTTGTTGTTAAGGAATTAGATAACCAAATAAATACTTGAATATATTTTATTTCATTTTTTTCTTAGAATCAATAATGAGATTGCCTGTTTAGGTTTTTGATTGTTTTCTTTTTTATTCTTTAACAGATGGAATTAGAGGTCATTATAGCTAAGGCCCCAGTGGCAGAGGGCCAGTTCAGTGTGTGATACACTAATGTAGGCTATTAACATGATTTATAGCTACCAGTAGTTGGCAATTATGAGATAGAGGATTTAAACTTCCGACAGTATGCACTTTAATTAATTAACTTTTTCGTATCTAAAAATGAAAATGTATGTTCAAGTAAATTAAAATCTTTTTTAGGAATATGAAGCCATCTACCTAGCAAAATTAACTATACAGATGATGTCGCCTCTCCAAATAGAAAGGTCCTTATCTGTTCATTCTGGTACCACTGGTAAGAATTTTTTCTTTAAAGAAAAAAAAGCAAAGGTGGAAAAGACACATCCATTGTTTAATGCAAATTGTACCAAATAATTTAAATTGCTTAGAAAGGTTTAGGTAAACTTGAATTAAAACAAGGTAATTCGAGAAAAGACTAATTTGATAATGAATAAATGTGTTATAATGAGCTTTTGCACTGTGTGTACTGCTGTGTATAGTAAATTAGAATATGCTGGTTAGATGACGAGATACCTACTTATGCTTTGCTTTGGTTTTGTGGTACTGGGGATTTAAACCCAGAGCCTGGCACATGCTAGGTGAGGACTGCCACCGAGCTACTTCCCTGCCCTGCTTGGTTTAAAGACTCCTGAGTAGTACAGCTCTATTTAAAAGATTAAAATAATATGAGGGGTCTGGAGAATTTGAGTGATCTTGTCAAAAATAAAGGATGTGATGGGCGTGGTAGTGTGCGCGCACACACACACACACACACACACACACACAGACAAGAAAAAGAGCTGGGGACATATCTCAGTAGCCTCTGGGTTCAATCCCCCAGTACCTCACCCTCACAGTGTTTCAAATTAGTAGAGTGAATGTGAACTGCTTTTTTCTCTTGCCATCAGTATTTTGATCTCCTCTTCCCTTTTTGCTATATTATGAACACCCAAACCCCCTCATTTTCAAAATCTTGTCCTCCTTTTTCCAAGCTTTGCTACTGTTGTTTCTTTTGTTTTTAGCCTACTAATGAAAACACTGCGGTTTTCTATCCCAGTTTATTTCCAACTTCTTTTGAACTGGCAGCCTTATAAGGTAGAAGGAGCAGGTTCCATACCTTGCTAGTGTTGACCTGGAATTTGAGCACAGGTGATTGGGTCCACAAGTCCAGAACACTGCACTGAATTGCACTTCCAGTAATGATAAAGCTACGTACTCATCTCCTAGACTCAACCTCCTAGTTATTATTGACTCTGCTTTGCTTTGTTGCTTTTACATAGTCACTTTCTAAATCCCTACTGGGTCTCTTTTCTCAGTATTTTTAAAATTCCTTCTTTTTTATAGCATCCTTAACCTCAGTCCACTTCAGGCCCATATTGGTCTCTTACCCGAACTTACTTGGTCTGTTTTATATGTGATGACCAGACTTTTTGTTTGTTTGCCAAAGCCTTTTCTGACTTTATTCCTCCAGAAGAAAATACATAGATTGCCCTAGGTAGTAAAGACCCTTCTGATTTTTCAATTTGTGCCTCTCTGTCCTTTTCCATATGTGCCTTCTGAATTAATGTTTTTATTGTGATATAGTACAACCCTTAGGGCACAAGTTTGAGGCCATGCCATTGTAGGCACAAAACACAGCAGACTCTGCCAGTTGAGCTGTTCTATCACGAGACTCTGATTTCCTGCATATAATTACTGGGGATATTGATATAGGTATGGGTTTGATTCTATGTGGGAAATTTTTATACTACCTGCTACATGTCTTCCTTTCTATCACCCTAGACTTGTTGATAATAAAACAATGGATTCAGTGAAAGAATACTTTCATCTGCTTTTCATAACAGCATCTGTGAAAACATGATGATAATTTTGTCTAAAATTCATGCAAATATGATTAATTTATTGAGGTTTATGTCCTTAAGTTACATGTTTATATACCTGAAAAGATAAACTTGGTGACCAAACTCTGTTTACCATTCAGCTTCTCAAAAATGTTAGTTTCACACTACTTTAGTTTTTAATATGTAAAGAAAGAATTAACTACAATATTGTTTAATTCTTAGGGGAGAAAATATGGCTTGTCATAAGTATAAAAGGTTATTTGGCTAATTTGCAACAAAATAACTTGCTAAAAGTTTAACAAATTCAGTCATGAAATTATCTTATGGACATGGTACAATATTATGTCAAAGTTTTTACTAGCTGTTACATTCTAACCTGGACTTACTGAATTTCCATTTTCTGTTTACTCAATAACATTTAGGCAGTTTAAAGAGAACACATGAAGAAGAGGATGATTTTGGAAACATGCAAGTGGCAACTGCACAGAATGGCTGACTCGAGAGTAACATTATAGAGGGTGTGAATTTCTGTTTGAAAGAGAAAATACTAAAGATGATAATAATGTAAAGTGGTAAACACACAAGTAGTTTCCTTTCACTTACATGTTGCTTCCAGAAATGTTTCTCTGCAACATGTTAAGAAGATGTTGGACTTCTGCAAAAGAAGGCACTGATGGTTTTACTTTTTTTTTTAACTTTACAGTTTTATTATAAACTAAGAGTTTTGGACTTGCAAAGAGTTATTATTGCAATAATGCACTTTTCATACTTGAAATTTATTTGTATGATATAAAGTTATTACTTTAAACAAAATGCAAGTTAGGGGGGATTTGTTTATCAGTTTTGGGTAATTTATAACAAAAGAATTTCCTAGGGTTTGCTACAAATTCATTTTGTGTTCTATATATTACATTTAAAAAATAATTTTACAGTTACATTTTATGATGGAACCCAGCATAACAGAAGTGCAGCAAACTGCCACTTTATTAGTGTAAGACAATAAATTAATGACCATTTTTTTAAACTTCTTGATCCCTTGTTAATTAACTATCCTTATTTCTATTTAATCCAGTTAATGCTTCCTTTCTATTACCTTCTTAATTTGTTTATTCTTTAGGGGAAAAAAAGGTTTAATGATCAAAGATGGTTTGCTTATAGTACAAGATGCTCAAAAACAAAGGCAGTATTAATATTTTTCAAGTGGCTTTTTTCTTTCAAAGTGCATAAATTTTTGGTTTTTTGAGACAGGGTCTTGCATATAACCCAGAATGGCCTCCAACTTGTGTTCCTCCTGCCTTGGCCACTCAACTGTTGGGATTCCAGGCTAGAAATGCATAAATCTTAATGCTGAGTTCTTGCACAGCATATCCTTGCCACCTTGCTCGTTTCCTGACCTCATCTCTGAAATCTGTCCCACTACATAGAAGGGGTTCTCTGCAGTGCCCCCCAGCAGCACCCCCATTTGTCTGGCTGTGGCTTCCACCCCTGCAGCACCACTGCCTTACAAGTGGGTTCGGGTCCACGGGGAAGGATCTGCTGTTGTCTTTCTGATGAGCTCAAGGCCCTTGCAGCCCTGGTAATTGGATTCTTCCTGGAGCATCTGCAGGTCCCTGAAGAGCCACACCAGCTTTTGTACAGGGAACTGGTAGACAGAAGTGTTATTAACATGTCCACAAACTCTGGAGCCTGAGGACACTCGCTCCTCCAGGCCTCCCACTCTGCATTGTGGAGATAATCTTCCTGTAGTCCTTGTCCTCAGCCTCTCCTCAAGGTCATCTGAAAAGGGCTTCTGCCGATCAGTTGCGAGTGGCTGGACAGGACTGTCCTTGGGAAACACGTGAGACGGTGTGGCACAGATGCTCCACTTACTTGCCTTCCTTGGACCCTGAGAACCACCGCGCCAAGGGCATTGGGAATTGCAGTGTTAAGGTGGCTAACAGTGCGTCAGACCCAGCAGTGACTTCCAGGAGCTGACACTGTTCCCAAAGAAAAGCAGAAGCACCAGCTGGACTCTGCTGTGATGCCTGAGGCAGAGGTCCCAGTGGGAAGCACACGCACTGCGCGTGGAGACTCCCTTGGCCAAGGATTCACCTGAGCTGGAGGAAGGGGTCATGTGGGACCCCTCTGACGAGACAAGCTGGAGGAGTCTCCCCACGGGAGCCTGCACTTGTTCCCGCTGTCCTCCACTACTGAGCTACATCCCCAGCCTTTTTTTTTTTTTTAACAGGGTCTCACTAAGTTGCCCAGCCTGGGCTTGATCTTGGAATCCTCCCTGCCTCAGCCTCCTGGGTGCTGGGATTACAGGTTTATGCCACTGAGCCCAACTTCCTACTGTTTTGTAAGCTGTCAATGATGGTTTCTACTGCGGAGCTCCAGAAATGAGACCAGTGCCGCCGCCCCCCCCCCCCCCCCCCGTTTTTTCGCTGGCCTGCTGTCCCCCTGCAGCTCTGCCTGCCTCTCCACAGCAGTGCCGCTGAAAGTCTGCCAAGGTCTCAGAATCAACTTCCCGGCTGTAGCCTAGGCTCTCTACTGTTTTGGAAGCCAAATGTTGTGTTTGTTCTCTCAGAGTTGCTTAGCTGTTTTTACCTTTGTCAAAATGGTTCTCAAAAGACTGATAAACCAGTATAAGACCGTTTTTTCCTAAGTGAAGCCCCCCAAAAGAAAAGTGCCTTGCATCATTTTAAAAAGTTAATCATCACTGACCTCTGTCCAAACTAGTAAGTAGGCCAGTGAAAAGCTCTTAAACAGTGTTTGTAATTTCTTTTGTTTTTAAACTTAGTTTAAACTGAACCTTGAAGAAACATTACTAAATTATTGAGTATAGAATATTTATTTCATTTCATATTGTCTTTCTGTGAAGTTGTTCCAACTCAGATGCTTTTCTTTGAAGATGACTTTATTGAGAAAGTGATTTGTGTCTTGTGTACTTTAAATTAGCATTTCATTTAATTATTTTTGTTTTTGTTTTTTGAGACAGGGTCTCACTATGTAGTTGAGACTGACCTGGAACTCACTATGCAACCCAGGCTGGTCTTGAACTCACAGTGATCCTCCTGCATCAGCCTCCCGAGTGCTGTAAATTAGCATTATAATCGGTTCTTTCTGTTGAATTAATCCAATTTTTCCCTGTAATTTGTATTAGCAAAGTCACTTTTATAGATCTTTAGTTGTCTAGGTTCTTATTTATGTCATTAAAAAAACTATTGCTATTTTGAATATGTGAAGGAAAAGGGAGGGTTTTTAACTTCCATAGTTGATGACCTTAGGGCACCACAAACAAAACTCTTCCTCACTCTTGGTCCTGTTGAGGTGCTTCACAGATTGCTCCTTACTGATGGAACAATTTCCATACCTTCCTGAGTCCCAGATACACTATGCGAGGCACTGTGGTACATCAGTTACCAGGGCTTGCTTTCCTCCCTGAGATGTAATAATATAGAAAAAGCTGTTAACTAGCATAATGGAAGAGTGAAACCTAATTTAAAAATGACTGTTGATTAGGAGTTCTCTTAACTCATGTGATATTCCTGTTCTCATTTCCATCCCTTCTCTTATTTTGCCACCCTGAAAACAGATTAAACCCACGATGGTCCAGTTTGTACTGTGTGGCTGGGTCATCTGGTGTCGTAGTCTAGTGCAATTCAGATTGCATTGGATGTCCAAAATTCTAGTTGGTAAAGACCTAGGTAGTGTGGCTTTTCTGTATATAAATTGTTTCTAGGTAGGTCAGCAAAACTGTCTCGCAATGTAATCAACCTATGATACTTCATTTAGAAATTCTGCTTAAATTTTTTTATGAGAGTAAATGTGGATTTTACAACTTAGGCAGTTACAACTTAAGGAGTTTTAAAAAATTAGTTTGGTAAAAAACACATCATTTCTAGATGTCTGCCTAAAAAACAGTTGCAATAGCGCATGCCTGTAATCCAAACTACTCAGGAGGCTGAGATGAGGATTTCATGTAAAAAGCCCAGCCTGGGCAATTGAGTGAAACCCTGTCTCAAAAATAAAAAGGCTGGGAATGTAGCTCAGTGTTATATAAAGGCCCTGGGTTCAATCCCCAATCCCCAGCACTGGGGAAAAATTTGAATTAGTTATTGAAACTAATTTGTAGCTGTAATTTTCAATTTTTTCTAGCCAGTATCATTTTTATGTTGTCACTAAAGTGCCTGCCCAGCACTGTATACTAAAGACAGTTTCTCTTAAACACAAGCAGAAGGGACTGCCATCATCTTGAGTACAAAAGCAGTGAATGTGGACAAAACACAAGATTAACTTCATATAAAAACACTGAAGTTTGTTTTTCTTGGATCTGTTTGTCTACATTAAGTGTTCAACTAGTTCTTCTGTTAGCTTCTCCTGCTTTTGGTTTCATTCTGTGCTCCTTTTATTTCCAAATGATTTGTGATCACTAACTATGATAAACTTAACCAATCATGTTTTATTTTCTAGCGCATGTGAATAATGTATGAGTGACTTCCCAATTCAAACATCAAATATGTAATCTGGGCACAAAATTTAAGTGAAATTACATCAGAAAATTACTATAATTGATGCAATTAAACCAATTGCATTACTCTCCATTTTGAAAGTATGAAATAGTACTGCAAATATTCAACTGGAACATGGCAGTTTTCTTCTAATTTTATCTAATTGGTTCGTTAATTTCTTATTAGATGTTTAATCAATAGCTTTATTTGTATCTACTCTGGTGGAAATGTTAAACCATGATAGCTTTTGCTACCAACTCTCAACCACTCAATTTGTAGAGCAGATTATTCATTCACTTTGGGGTGGGGGATTTTGTGCTTAATCTGAGTTTAGAAATAATGTCAGAAAATGTTAAGCATGTCCTTTTTGAGAAAATATAATGTTTCTAATTGTCCTATTGCCATGGTGACTCAAGTGAATTAGAAGTATTTAACTGCAGTCTTGAATTATAAAGTTGAGATGTATATATCAAGAGCTCAACTTGATGTGAAGTAAATGAGCAGTTACCTGGTGGATTTTTTTTCCTAATAATTGGTTTAATCCATAATCCCATAACAAAACATAGTTTCACCTCAGTATTTATCTTTTTCCATTCAGCAATGCTAAAATAAGGAAATGATAAATAGGGAAGAGTTACTTTTGTTTGTTGGTTCATTAGAAAAATAAGTTTCTAGAGTCTTTCAATGCTGGATTTCCTTTGTCTTTCCTTCCTATCCATGGCAGCTACAAAACAAAAATCACTCAATATTTTACATGTTAAATACATGTTAAATACAGGTTTACATGTTAGCTCTCTTCTCCACAGAGAGTTGCCATACCTCAGTTCAAAATGTATTCTATATATCAGTAACATTATACTGACATGTAATTGCAATTTACTATGCAGCAAAAATGATTCAAGAAGAGACTAATGTACAGTGTCTATTTACCTTTGTATAGGCAATTGCTTATGTTATTCCACTTTTAACATTTGTACTTGGGTAAATGCTTATGTATGTATAGGAATGTCACCATGCAAGATGCTGCTGCTAGCTCAGGCACAGAGTATTAAAATTATTTTGTGAAGATTGGTGGTTATATTAAAACTATTGTGCCATTTTACCTCAAAGATTGAAAAGCTCATTCATATGGCTTTTGCCTGCAAATTTGTTATCATTTGGGTAACAGTAACTCAGTTTAACTCCCACAGATTAGAAAGGATGGATATTGGATATGGAGAAACACTGGTGACACACAAAATTATGGTCTGTAGACTATACAAGCCCCAAATTCCAGCTAACATATTTTTAAAGATTGTGCAAGTTTGGAGTTAGAAATAAGGGAACTCATGCATGAAGAAAAGGGTAGCTCCTAGGCAGAACCACTTCCAGGCACTTAGGAAAACAGCTGGTTCATAGTATCCCTCTTCCTCTTAGGCTGCCTACATACTGTGCTTCACCAAATTAACCTCTCATCAAAACAGCACTATTACTTCAGGTGCCACTCAGCAGTGTTGCTGACTAAACTGTGGCAGGCCATTGGTCATACAATTCATCCAGATTTCAGAGATGATAATATATTTTTTTGGATTGATGAAATATACAAAATACATGAGACAAGTCACAACTGCCACTTGATCATACCTTTTTTCAATTGTTTTTTTGAGAAAAGGTCTCGCTATGTAGTTCAGACTGGTCTTAAACTCAGGGTAGCCCAGGCTGCTCTTGAACTTGTGGCCATCCTCTTGCCTTAGCCTCCCAAGTGCTAGGATTATAGGCATGTGCCACACTTGGCTGATTATACCTTTCAAAAGCGAACAGTACTCAGAAATGTGTTCAGTATGTTTGATGTTTTTCATACTCAAATTTACTTAAATGTCTCAGCAATAAACATCTTAACTAAAAGCCAAATACAGATTAGTTTTCCTCAAAGGCACAATCTTTTATATTGTAAACCTTATTTGTAATGGTTTGCTATGGGGGGAGGGATGTTAAAAGCTTTGAAGAACAAAATTCAAATGGATTTATTGAAATACAGTGTTGCCTCAGTTTATAAATTTTAGTTTACGATTTTGGGAAGGATCACTGTGTGGGGAAGATGACTGGTGGTGTTCATCACCTGAGGCAGTTTGTGAAGCAAAATTTGAGTGCTTCTGTTTGCAAACAATTGTTTTTTGGTTTTGTTTTGTTTTTTTGGTACATGGGGATTGAACTCGACCTTGTGCTTATAAGGCATGCAGCAGAATCAATGAGCTAAATCCACAGTCCTCAAACTAAATTGTTTGCAAACAAGCATATGTGAACTGAGGCATTACTGTACCAATCAATCCCCCTTCTGCCATACTGGAAATCATACTCAGGACCTTGTGCTTACCAGGCGGGCGCAGCGCCACTGAGCTAAATCCCTAGCCCTACTGTACCAAACTTATACGTAATTTTTACCTCGAACACAGTGGATCCTCAAGTTACGATCGGCCTGATATATGAACAATTTGGGTTAGTGAGGTTGATGGAAGATTCATCTGCCTCTTGTTATCTATAGTGTGTACCCAGGTAAGTATCCACATCTCAGTTATATTGATATAAAACCAACTTTAGTTACAACCAGCCCTCAGGAACTGATCAAGGGTCTACTCTAGTTCAGTGGTAAGATGCAATATAGCATTAACGTTTTGCCTTTTTATGAGGCTTATTTAAAATGGTTTTTATTTATCAGAATTAACCTAATGAAGCTGCTGTCAAGACCACAGGATCCCTGAAAAGACAGAACTTTGTTGCTTTCACTAGGCACACTTCATCTGTGTAGGTCAAAAAGTAATACACTGTCTACTGCTGATAAGATTTCTATTCTTCCGGAAAGCCAACTTCAGCTAACTGGAGTAAGATTCAAAATCTAAATGAAACAGTATCACTTAAGAGAGGAGAAGTTGCTGGTTCTCCCTTTCCAAGTTTATTTTACAAAGAGTACACAAAACTAAGATGTGAACTGAGACTTCAATTGGGGACTCAAAGCATAGGCAAGATTTTAACAGAAAAGTTATTCTCATGAATAACATGGTTTAATGTAACATGGAATGCAAAAGATTAGAACCATTAATAAAGTATATTCAACTTTAAAAAATAATTAAAATAAATAAAATTGAACAGAAAAATAGGACCATTATAATCACATTAAATAGAAGTTACCATGAACATTTTCAGGATATTGACCAATACAGTGCCAAACATTTAAAAATATTCCCCACAATTTTGTAATATGCTATGTTTCACAAAAACATTAACCAAAAGGCAGGCTTCAGTACCCATACACACAAAAAAAGAAGGTAAAAGTAAATATCGCAAGAGTTGCTAAAATACCTTAGTTTTGATCTTTATATTGGCCTTTCAGTAATTCTAACAAATGAATAATATTTCACAGATAATATAGGTAGTACTTCATGTAGAACTATATAAACTTTTAAGTAAAACATCTATTTTACTCTGGATCCTATCTTTCATTTCTTTAAAAGGCTGATCAAGTCTGCCGATACTAGATCAACAAACATTAGATGAAATGTTGGATTAAACTTCATATAATGTGAGAAATGACACCAAGTATATATAATGTCTCTGAAACAAATACTTAGGAATGTGATAAGAAACAGCCTTACTCAATTTTTAAAAAATGAGCAGCGCAGCTCCTTACTACTCAGACTCTTCACTACCAAGAATTTAAGCCAAACTTTAGAAAAATACAAGGCAAGAAAAGATTCAAGTTAAAAATATATTCATTTGGTTAAAAATCATCCCCTTTATAATATTTATTAGTAATCTAAACTCACAGCATGGCCCACCAGCCCAAGGTAATCTAAATATCATTAAACTTAGCATATTATAATGTATTTTTCAGTTCAATATTGACGGAGGCCACTGGGTTGCAGCAACATCAGCTCCTTTACAATTTTCTTAAGAGTTTTAGTTTAGAAACCTCCGGCACATGTAGTTTTCTTCAGAAACAGTATATCCAAACTTTTTATAAAAAGCAACATTTTGTGGCAGACATTCAAGAGTAATCTTGTAACAGTTCAGTTTCTTGCTTAGCAAAGTAAGGGTTGACAATAACCTGAAATTTTAAAAAAGGGTGGGGAAACAGCATTTATTCAAAAAGGATTTTAATAACAACATGAATTTAGTGTTGTACAACAAAAAGTCCTGAGTTTGATTCCTCAGTACCCGCCCCCCAAAATAAGACTTCAGTTTTTATTAGAAATAGTTTAGATCCTGACCTTTATCAATGCATTCATTAAATATTAAAATAATGTTGATAAGTATTTAAATTACCATTTAATTTCAAATATGCTTTACCATTAATAGAACAAATATTAAACTCTAAAACCTTTTGAAAATTAAGATTTTTGTTAACACTGAAGACTACCACCACCCTGTATAAAAATAGACAAAATTATTTTATTAAAGGTCTTTGTTCTAAATCTGTTCACACTAAGTGAACATTCTCACATAAAATGGGTACATAAAAGCTTTGTTCTTTAATAATATTAAGGCTATTTTAACATTCATGAAAAATATGGATTAGATTAACTCAAGATTGGTCTAAATATACTGTGGACACCAAACCAAGGAGAGTACCTCTTTACAAATCCTTAAATAAACCCCTATATATAAAAATATGGTTAAGTCCCATACGGGATAAAAGTGTTAGGAAATTTTCCTGAAAGGTTTTCTCATGTTTGAACAGAGTAAACAATTTAAATCCTTAAGTCTTTTATGAAATTATAAAAAGTCTGACTGAGTTAATTGGACAAGAATACTAGAAATCAGTCTGTTTTGTTCAGTAATTCCAAATACCTTGAATAGTATCTGGTATTTAAAATTTACACTGGATTTCTTAAAACTCCAGAGAGATAATAATAAAAAGCAAATTCTATCATAAAATAGGACAAACCTGTACAGTTTACAACAGCTGAACATTTCCCTTGTTTATAAACAGAGGAACTGGCACAGTTTAAGATGTTATTGTTGGTAATGGAGTGTATTTTCAATTGTCAAACTGAGGTAAGACTATATAATACAATGCTGTTTCATTAAATCCAGCCCAAGCTACAGAATGAGAATGAATTTATACTTAATGGAGCCTAGAAAGATCTTCAAGTATCTTGAAACTAAAATGAAACAGTAGTCAGGGTTAACTTATTTCTGCTTACTTACAATTTGCCAAGCTGCTTTCCTCTGCATTCATCACTAACAACAACATCTTCTACTCTTCCTCTCTGAAAATATTTATAGTGATTAGGACTGAGCATATACTGTTTGTTTGTTTTGTGTAGTGCCGGGGATTGAACCCGGAAACAGTTAACATGCTGTAAGTGCTCTGCTACTGAGCTATATCTCCACCCCCAGTCTAGTTTTAATTTTCGTGAAACCAAGAAATGGTAGTTGGGAAGAATTTATTCATCAATGTTTTGTAAACTTGAATCAATTTGGAGCTTAAATCATTTTTTGGCTGTAATCCCAAACCCCCCTAAATCCATTGTTTTAAAGGAAATCTCAGAATCTACATCAAAGTGTAATCTTGTCATAAATAGTACATACATCATTGTATTCTGCATAGTAGCAATTTATTTCAAACAGCCAGGTAAGATTTATCTTTTTCTAGTGCAGAAACTCCATAATCCCATTAGACTTCATAAATTACAGGATACATGCCAAGTGTTCTTTTTTTGTTTTCTGCAGGGGACTGAGGGACTGAACCCAAGGCCATACTATCACCAAGCTACCCACCCTTTTCATTTTTTATTTTGAGATAAGGCCTTCCTAAGTTACCCAGGCTGGCCTCAAACTTGTGATCCTCTCCTGCTTTACCCCAACTTTTCTTTGATTATGTAAGGAGTTTTTTGTTTGTTTTTACTAATTTCATGTTAATTTTTGAGGGGTACAGGGCACTACAGAACATTACAATATAGTATTCCATGAACTTTGCCACATGGAAACTGATAGAAATCTGTACAAATATTACTCAAAGTAATATTTCTGAAGAAACAGACCATGAGGGATTCTATACTTATAGGATACTTGGTTTTTCTATGACTACACCAAATCTAACCTTGACAGAACAATTTCAGCAAACAATTCACACTACTACTTTTCTTTTGTAGCTCTCAGAATATACCCAGAAAATGCCTGGTAAGAAGGGATTTCTAAGAATCATGTAAAGCAATGGCAAAAATAGATTCATCTAATAGAAATTCAGAGTCCAATTTCCTAGAAAACACCTATCCATTTTACACGTAAGAACTGATGTAAGAATATACCTTAGCACAGGAATGGATGAATTTATGTTCGATTATCAGAGTTGCTGTAGCAACAATCTGTCCTAGGGTCAGATCTTCCACAACTATAACATAATAATCCCCAGATTTCTTCATATGTTCAAAAGATTCTGTGGAGATTAGAAAACAGAGTATTATATTGTAGACATTCTATTTTATTAGGTACCAGAAAAATACTAAGATCAGTTAATTTTTAAAGCTATCTTACCAATTTTTCTCCATTTCTAACAATATTAATTTAAAATGAGTTGAAATAGCTGAATTAGTATTAATTGAACTACAGTCCATACATTTAGTTTGCTAACAAAAAGACTAATATTGCTAATTTAGATGAACAGCACTTACAATAAATTGTACATTTTACCATTTCTTCCACTAATTAAAACTTTGTCACTTTAACTACATTTCCTTAACCTTTACACCCAAAAGATATTTAAATAAAACAGAACTTTGCAAATTCTAAGCATGTTTATATTCCGTAATTTAGTTTCAAAATATTTTGACAAAACAGGTTTCAGTTTTCCCTTTGTGATTTCAAATGTTTCATGATTACACACTTGCTCTTTTAGAAACAATCACTGTTTTTGTTTGCATTGAAAGCACCTTACACAGTAGGTGGAAAATGACTTCATTCCCAAGTCATTTTTTAAGTCATTTTTCTAAGTCACATAATAGGAGCAAAGATACTTTTCTCTCAATTTTTAGTACTTATATGGCTGAAAAAACATGATTTCTCATCTAATCTGTTACACATGTAAAGGAAAACAAGAGTTAAAAACCAAGCTCTTGTTTATTTCCAGTCTCTCTGTAGGGGTCTGAAATGGGAAGAAGAAATAGATGTAATAAAATCAGAGAATGATGGTCAGTTCTCAGGAGGGTTGGAGTACAAAACAGTTAACAGAATTACCTGTTAAAAAAAATGAACAAGTACAGAAAAGAGGAGCAGGCAGCATTAGATCACTGGATAAAGAAGGTTTTAGACTTTTATCAATTACCATCTATGATTTTGGGCAAGATACTGAATCTCTCTGGATACCCACTTTTCTTATATCTCAAAGCAGAGGTGGGGCGTGGGGAGTAGTGATGGTGGACTAAGATGGCTGCTAACTTTATAATTCAAGCTAAGAAGAAGAAAAAGAATATACACTTTTTAAAAACAGAACATATACTTTTACCTTTTTAATTTGGTAAGGATATTTCGATAACCACATGGAAATACGATAAGAATAACTGAAAAATATCTGTCTGCCTCTGTATCTTACTCAAAAGTATCTAAAAATACGTTATTTTGCAAAACTGGGTAATTACTACATTTGAATTCAAGATAACTCAGTCATGTTAAACATTTATCTAAGAAAATAATCTGCTATCTGAATAATTTCTGGTCATTTGAACAAAAACATAAGCAGGCACTGAACAGAGCTCTAAACAAAAAACTTTTTTTCCTTTATTTCTTTTTCTTTGGGAAAATGCTATAGTACTTACTCATAAACTGTTCTGGGTTGACAACTCCAGTCTCTGTCAGCTGACCCAGTACCTTAAAAAAACCTAGTTTTGAAAAGAAATTTTAAGTCATGAGAAGAAAAGCAAAGGGGTGATAAAACATGAAAGAAGTAGTAGTATGTTACCTGGTGGGACATGAGCAGGTAAAGTGAGATCTCATCTTAAAAAAAAAAAAGAAAGATTCTCACTATGATTCCAGGCCAAACTGAACTATATAGTGGTGACACCCTGTCTCAAAAACAAACAAAAGGGCGGGGGATTTAGCTAGTGGCACTGCAGCTGCCTTGAAAGCACAAGGTCCCAAGTTTGATTCCCCAGTACTAAAACAAAAAGGGACAAAGTTTCATTTGATTTCTCACCCAAATGAAGTGTGAGAAATAAAATGTTTACTTTTAATTACCAAAGTTTAAGGGAATTATGTGGAGAATTTAATGTTAAAAGAAATACATAGAAATAAACATAACTTTCAACTTATCCAAGGGAAATTATCTCATTTTTATTCAGCTTCTTATTAAGTGCTGTTACACATGATACCTTTGCCTGTTTTTCTATCAGTTAACAAACATTTTTATTTACTTAATCTAATAAATGCACATTATACACATTTAATATATTCTTATCTAAAATCAAGAAAATATGATTTCTATGAGATATTTCATTATGGCATAATGTTTGTCACTTTATAGTATATTTTTATTTATATGATGCCAGTGCAATCTGCATTAACCTTTCAAATATTAACCACTACATTATTTGGCTGTGTTATATGTCAAAAAATGAAGAAAGTAATGCTTTAGCCAAAGTGACTATCACTATAAACAAAACTGTGTGAGTAGAAAGGATTTTTAAATTCAGTGTAGTTTTTACAATTCATATTCATATTTTACTATTGGAGTTCTTATTTCTTTTTTCTCTCTCATTGAGTTTATTTGTACATTTTAGGTATACGGTATCGTTACATTCATTATTGGGATCTTGTACCTTTACATGACAGGTCTTGGTTCTCATTTTTTCCCCTTTTCCATTTTTTGCCTCTGTTTATGAGGAGTCTTTCTGGAAGAAGCACTGTCATATTTAAGTCATCTGAAGTACTTCACAATAATATTTGATCTTGGCCATGGTCACTGGAATTGAGTATCCCAGTCACTTTTAAGAATGAAGTGCACACAAGGACCCGAGTATGATCCCCCGCACCAAAAAAAAAAAAAAGAATGAAATACAAGATAGTGCAAAAGTCAAATACTTTTTAAAGTTGTATTTTAATGTTTATGGAGAAAACAGCTAATTTAAAAACTTTAATCAGAATTGGCAAACTAAGTGAGTCCATACCTCTGTTTAAGTCAGCAGTACAAAGGGGCCTCAAAACCAAGCCTTCTCCAGGATGTGTTGGAGAAATGGCTGGAGAAAACGTAGCTGTATTCTGGCTCCAATCCACTTCTCTGAGTAGACTTGGGTCAAACATAGGTGTTTCGTCAGGTTTCATCTTTCCAGTAAGGTCTAAGATAAAATGTTTACTGTTAAGGCATTTTATTAAAAGAAAATTTATTATGATGATAAGAATTTCTTAATATAAATTGATGCAGTAAACATTCTTCAACAGGCTCAAAAACTATGTGCCACAGTAATGACTGGTTTTAGCTATGACAGACAATAAACCAAGTGCTTTTGTATTTTGTTTTCATAGCAGAATTTCCAAAACCCTATTATGTATAAGCACCCAAGCAGTTTAAAAATAGCTGCCTTCAAGAGGCTAAGGCAGGAGGATCATGAGTTTGAGGCCAGCCTGGGCTACATAGGTCTAAGCCAGCCCAACTGCAAAGCAAGCCCATCACAAAACAAAAAGAACCAGTGTTTTTCATGCTACTGAAAATAACCAATTATGGTATTTCCTCTCTTCCTGAACATTCACAAATGGACAGGTTCTCACTAATCATCTTATAAAACTAAAACAAAATAATACATATCACAGTAGCAAAGATGAACAATTTTATAAAATGGGGTAAATCACATTGTAGTGAGAAGAAAACAGTCTTCCTAATAATCAGAAGACCAAACCTCCAGTTTTTATTTCTACTAAACAATTTTCCCAATAAACTCCTTATTTCATAAATCACAACATGCTTTTGGGCAAATATTCTTTTTTTTTTTTTTTTTTTTTTTTTTTTGTACCAGGGATCCAACTCCAGACCTTGCACTTTCATGGTAGGCGGTGGCACCACTGAGCTAAATCCCCAGCCCTAGGCCAAATGTTCTTAAACTTTCCTAAACATAGATTAAAAATTTTTGCCTCTGAGCTGAGGGCATGGTTGTGCAGGCCTGTAATCTCAAGACTCAGGAGGTTGGGGCAGGAGGGTCTCCATGAGACTGAAGTCAGCTTGAACTACATAGCAAAGCCCTGGCTCACCCCCCAACACACACCAATCCTGCCTGTGCAACCCCCTATAACTGTATAAAGAAATGCCACGGGACAGTATAGGCTTTGGGGAAAGTATAATAGTAGAATTTAACCCTTGGTTCAACACTATGTGCCAAGCACGTTTTAAAGAACTTTACGTATTACTAATTCATTTACTTCAACAATCCTTCGGGGTAGGTGGTGTGTTGATTATCTCCATTTTAATAAATAAGCAAATGAAGGCAGAGATGTTAAGTAACTTTCCCAAGGCCACAAAATTAAAACCAAGATTTAAAACTGAGCACAGAGAAAGCATGAGCTTTGGAATTAGACCTGTTACACAAAGGTCAACTGTGTGATCTTAAAGTAATTTAACTACTAAAACCTTGTTTTCATCATTTATAAAGTAGAGATGAACTTATTAGGAGAAAAGAATTACTGCATGCAAACTAGCACTTAGCAGTACCTGGCACACTGGGAATACTGAAGACATATTCTACTTAGTAATAAATTCAGAATTCACTTTATAAATTTTAATCCATGAATGAGGCGCTGTGCTGTGTACAGAAACTACAAACACATGACACATTACTATGTTTCTGTTAAACCAAATTAGTATTCTTGAATAGTAAAGAATAAAATGTAGGTTGGCATGTACAAGGCTGAAAGGTTTGTTTTTTTGTTTTTTTTTTCCCCTCAGAAATGTTTCAGTTCAAATTATAATACTATTCCTAGGGCAAAAAATATTGAGGAAAGGTTATAAATTGTGATGACTAAATCACTTGTATCAAGTGAACAAACTTAGCATCCTTTCTAGGTTAATTTTAGGGCATGAATTTTAGTGTTTGTCTTTGATAATTGGACCCCTGAGGCTTTTGTTTGTAATCTCACTTAAAAAAGGGATAACAACATTGTTGGTTCTCAAGTATGAAGACAAATAGGCTGTACATTTATCAATAAAATAAAATGTTTACATTAAATGCAGAAACCAAAAAGTATTAATATTTTATGTTGTTTATGGCAACATGCTAAACATTTTGATTGATCCCCGGCCCTAGGGCAAATGTTCTTAAACTTTCCTAAACATAGATAAAATTTTTGCTTCTGAGCTGGGCATGGTTATGCAAGCCTGTAATCTCAAGACTCAGGAGGCTGAGGCAGGAGGGTCTCCATGAGACTGAAGTCAGCTTGAACTATATAGCAAAGCCCCTTTCATATTTAATGATAAACATTAATGAAATTTAGTTAATTAGATTCCTTTTTCTTACAAAGTTACTTGAGTTTACAATAAAACATAGCCTGGAGGATATTCAAAATAAGCTTAGTAGGGGAGAAGTGTACAGCAGAAGAATTAGGATTAGGAAGGCTTTAATGAATTTTAAATATTTTCCAGGACCTTTTTTTTTTTTTTTTTTTTTTTTTTTTTTTTTTTTTTTTTTGTGTGTGTGTGGAATTGGGGATTGAACTCAGGGCCTTGTACTTGCCAGGCAGGTGCTGGTGCCACTGAGCTAAACCCCCAGCCCATCCAGGACTTTTCTTTAACCAGCTGGTTCTATTCTCATATGATCATAAAAATCAGTAATCCTGGCTAACACCTGTACTTCATAGTTGTTAACTCTTTCAAACACAGTGAAAGATGGTCATGATTTTATCTCTATTTTACCAAGGAAGAAGCAACACAGTGTATTTGGGGTAGGTACCAGTGCCAGGGAGGAAGAGTTAGAATTCAGAAGGTGATGGCGGGATGGCTTCACAGGGGCCGGACTTCTGTGGCACCCAGGTCCCCTTGGCTTGGTTGAAATGCTCTGGTGTTGGTAATCTGATGATATTCTTAAAATTTTGGGGGGTTGGGGATTTAGCTTGGTGCCACTGCGTTTGCCTTGCAAGCGCAAGGTCCTGAGATTGACCCCCGGTACTGCAAAAATAAATAGATAGATAGATAGATAGATAGATAAATAACAAAGAGCCGCCCTGCATTTTAATTTTTTACAGGAGACCACAAATTACATTGCTGGTCCTACTAGGCAGAATGTGTTCAGACTCTGGGCTAAACCATCCCACCAAAGATGTACTAGTTTAGATGAATTCCCTATTTACTGTGCAAGGGTTGAAAATTTAGCCAAGACAGCACTTTGAACCTACACTTGGAAAATGAGAATTTTATACTAGACAAAAATATAACCAAAGCATTCTGGGCAGAAATAAAAACCCATTAATCAGACAACCAGAAATTAATATAAAAATGTTTTTATGGACCAGGGATTTAGCTCAAAGGTTCTGCTGCCTGTGCCTTGCAATCATAAGGGACCCAGGTTCGATCCCCAGTACCCCCCAAAAATGTTTTTATCAGCTATTTTACAAAACACAGCCATAATTCTCATTTTATTTTATTCTGTCTTTAAATAGTAAAACTTTGCTAATATCCAGCTAATATGCCAGGGAAATATGATTTGATACCAGATTTCCAAAGGACATTAAAAAGAACTAAATAGATAATTTTATTTGGTTAACAAAAGAAATAATACTTTAGCATTTTAAGGTGCCACCAGACACTGCAAAACTAGGAAATTTCATTAAATAGAGTTAATATAGTTCCCTGAAGCACAATCTCATCATCATTAGTCTTATTGTACAATTTTTAGATTAATTTTAGGAAAGCAAACCCTGGAGCTCAGGGATAGCTGACCACACAAGTTCCTGGAGGGTAGCACAGCAGGAGAGGGCCTGAAAGCAGTCTTCCTTCCCACACGCCTCCACCTATGCTGCTCCCTCTTCATCCTCTGTAATAGGCTTTAAACCAGTGAACAACCCATGCTGAAGAAGCCATGGATCCCTAGGAAAAGCTATTCTCTCAGCAAAGGTCAGAAGCTCAAGGGACAAACAGAAAAAACAGAAATCTCTTAAAATCCCCATTTACAGCTGGCATGTGCTATATCCTCTCCACCCATCTCCACTGGTCAACCAGCATGTTCCAAGTCAATAGGGGGGAAAGTACATTCTTACTTACAAAGAAGCCATAGAAAGGAAAGAAAGAAGAATGAACTGTCAACAAATGACATTACCTAACACAACTTTCCAGTAATGAGTCAAATCAGGGCCGGGGATTTAGCTCAGTGGTTCTGTCCCCTGCTTCACAAGCATACAGTCCTGAGTTCGATTCCCCGTAACAAAATAAATAAATAGTCAAACCAGTTCTGACACTGGCTACCAAACTAATGAGGTTGCACAGGCACGGTCTCGCTGATCTATGTAGCTAAAGGTAAAACAAAATGTAAGACTCTAGTAAGATTTACAAAATGCAGCAAAAGTGGACAGTCCATCATTTTGTCATGTAGCTGTGAAGGTTGAGTGCATAAATCACATTTCTGTAATTACAGAAACTGTAGTAGACATATGGAGATCAAAAAAAAGTTTTGATGGTTTTAAGATCCTTTATTCTGTTTAACATTCCTACATTTGAAATTTGGTTAGGCGAACTAATAAAAAAATCCCCTTTCTCTTAAAAAGCAACCCTAACCCTCCTTTAATATTTCTCAAGAACCATTTTTGTTTAACTGCTAAAACTAACTTAGACCACATTCACAAGGCCAATATATTGCCTAGCTCTACCCCAATGCCTAGTGAATGAGTAATAAATGATATAAAGGCTTAGCTAGGTCACATTTTAGGAAATCAAGAAAAAAAGATTCCTACACAAATACATCAAATTCACTTTTACTAGTACTGGGAGGTTTTCACTTGATTATGTTTAAAACACTTCAACAATTTGGTTTCTCATTTCTATATCGGATCAGAATACAAATGGGAAGGAGCTGCTCCTAGAAAGCAATTGAGAACAAGTAGTAGACACTGGAGATAAAGATTTACAAACTCAGTACACAACTTTAAAAACAATCTAAAGCCAAATCTAAACTATGTCACCGCGTCACTACACACTTTCCCCGCTCCTGGGGCGTCTTCAGTACCTAGAGAATGGGAGAAGGGAACATTTGTGCTGTCTGAAACGTTCGAACTTTTCTCTAAAATTTATGACAATTTTAATTAACAATTGGCCTACATTTTGAATGTGATGAACTGCACGGATTCACACAAGCGATTCCCG